TTATTATTCCACTTAATGTTTTGTTTCATAAGTTTGTTTTAACTGTTTCATATATTATTCGCACGAGTGCCTTAAAATACACCTAACAGTATTTGTCGTATCGTGTTATATATGTCATATAAGGACAAATGAAACTACTTCAAATATTCTTGTATAATATATGCATAACATATGCTGCAATCATGAAAACATTAAAAATGGATCATCACTTAAAGAAACATAAACTAAATAATTTTTCTATAAATTTGTATATTATAATTCTGTTTTTATAGTCTTTACCATAATTTTAATATAAAAACTATTTGAATAGGTATGTTCCTTAAACACTTTCATGTATGTAAAGTAAACTATATGGCTATGTAACTAGAAAAAATGCTCTCAAGATTGAAGCTTTGTTATGCAGATATTTTATGATATCATTGTGTGTTCTATGTGCCTAAATTTTAAGAAATTTATATGCATCTGAAGTTCAAATATGCATAATATTACTTATACACATTTAACGTAATATGGACATACATCACATGTAAATTGTAGAAAGACAAACAAAATCTAAAATCTTTTTATAAATATGAATAATTATGTGATGAAAAATTGTATCTGTTTGGTGACATGTGTGCTGTGCTTCATAGAAAACCTAAGAACTTAGAAATTGTTTTCAAGTGTCTTAGTTGAGAATATGGAATGTCCAAGCAAAGCAAATGCATCAAAACTATAAATATAGCATTTTATCATCCGATATTATAATCCATTTAGTTTGAATTTATAAGTTTATTTGCCCAGATTCAACTAGTTTGTTATACAAATGTAATAAACCAAGATATTCTTGAAGAATCAAATTATACTTAGCATATGCTTCATTCAGATGAATAGTGGTTTTTTAGAAAATTCAATTATTGACTTCCATTAATGTAAATTAATATAAGATTGCACTGATTTAAATATTAAAAAAAAATTTATATGAGATGAAAAAAGAAAAAAATGCTCTTCTATTCTCTGATATAGCAATATTATTATTTAGTTTAAATGTTAAAGTTTGTATGTGCAACTTATGAATCAATTTATAATTCAAGCTAATTATAGAGGTGGGTTTATGCAAGTATTTGTGAATTACCAAAATAATTTTCATACTTCAATATTATATACCCATTTACCTATAGAGAAATGATGCAATTTTCAAACTGTCAAATTTTGATTTGTAATTTTTTATATTTTCAAACATTTTAATCATGATATTGCACATTATACAATTTGGATAATAGCATTACTCGAATGGGACAGATCTATATAGGGAAATAAGTGCAATTGTATATTTTTACAATATTTACAACTGATCATTCCATCAAAAATGTTAATTTTTGAAATGGTTGTTAGCTGTGCAATTCTAAATCAAACAAATCATTTATACAGTTCTGCTAGTTTTATACACAGCGTGTGATTAACATAGAATAATTGTGTGACATAAATTACAAATAAGCTGTAAGTGTTATAGATCTGTAGCATTTTTTCCAACGAATTAATTTAGCAAAAATTTGTAAACAATTCAAATAGTTAAAAATCATTGATCATAAGACAAAAGTGATGAAATTGAATAATTGTTTGAACTTGCTAAAAAAAATATAGTAGTTTGATAACAATTAAAGTTTAAATTATGATCAATATGTCGTTGGAATTTCTAAAAGTACGATTAAAAAATGTTACATATCTAAACACCAGAACCATTCCATATTTAGAGTAAGAAGTTTAATTAATAGAAATAAGAATTGTATGATTCAATAGATTATTTTCTGTTATTGTACTTAGGCTACAAAAGTGTATGCAAAATTCTAGTTGACATATTAAAGAAACAATAAACAATGAAAATTACTTTATATGATATCTTTTTTCTTTGTTCATTTATCTATCCCTTACTTTTTCCTTAATCGACACATTTTCTCGCGTATATAAATAAATAAACTGTACTAACTGTCACATCGAGTTGTTTATATAAATCGTAATAATTATAAATACATTATTTGAAAAAACTACAGGTGCTTTTCGCTAAATTTAAACCAGTGTAATAGTACAGACGACGTACATTATTCACCTAACATTTATGGGACTTTTTGTCAGAGGCTTTGGGACCGTAAAGACTCTTACCATTTTCGTGTCGCTACCAACGTTACTGATTCAGCATAGAATAAGATTACAACATTAGTAGTGGTTGAAATTGGAATTAAACGTAACTATAAAATTACAAATAAGAAAGTAACGTAATTGTTTATTAGTAGAGATTCATCACATACGTGTGTTCCAATATATTTATTCGTGCTTACTACTCGTCCAGGTATTTAGAAATACAGGTAAACAAGGATAGAAAAATATAGACTTTTGTAGAGTTGATTTTTATTTATATACTGCAATTAGTTTAATAACCATAAGTAATGTGGTTTATTAGATATTAGCAATTATTTATAACGGTTGACTATATTCGATACTATGAATAGGGGACTCTTCCATATAATATTTAATAACTCTTAAACCAAACCGAACATGTTAATAAAAATTATATCTAAATGTAGCTAAAGCAGTTACCTTTCAGATGTATGCAGTTAGTTGCATGAGAATTTAGTAAGAAGCTATGAAATTATTGAAAAATCGTGAAGGTATGCGATATTGTTCCTGACATCCCGTACTAAAGTTGTTAATAATTAATTATTGAAAGGGTTTAATGGATTAAAATCTATATGTAAAAGTTGCTGCATTTTTCAATACTAAAAGTTCAAAAATTTATCGTAAATAATGTGTTATTAATGATTTTCCCTTGGTTGATTTTATTTAGGGCATGAGAGGCGGAGCTTAGCGGCCCGCCGACCAATAAGAAACATTTTCTCTCTATCCTTCTCGCACAGTAGTGCGATTCTTGTCTAATACCTCTGTTCACATTCTGTGTTCCTAGTAAAGAGTCGTTAGTTCGCACAGCCAAACATGAGATGGCGTTAGTTTAGTTTCGAAGTTTTTGCTCGAATTTCGGGATATTTTCCATTTTTTCCATTTTTACACCTTCCTAACAGTTTCTGGATTTAGTTTATTCAATTTTGCAATGGAACATTGTCTAAACAATGAGTTTTTTGCAAAGAAAAATGGACGTGGTGTGTAAGGGAGAATTAAATTGACCGTAAAATGCTGTAAAACAATACTAGTATGTATATAGTAACCTTTTGTAAAATAAATTTTGTACACTAATCTTATAATGTGTTAGGATGTGCTCGTGGTACTTGCAAATAACTGTCGAGATTTGTCGATTTTGCACGTGGTGTGCCGACTAAATTTACTAGGTTCGTTTTTTCGAAGGACCACCCCTGTTTTAGGAGGACAAATGACTATTAATACTGACTAATTTCTCAAGAACGACTCGTAGCGCGGTGAAATGAATTCTGTCTATCTTCTCCGCGGAAGGTCCCACGAAACCTCCGAGCGAGGACGCATCGCGGGGGTGAGGCCCTCGGATAGGCTGAAGACATTTTTCAATAGTGGTAGGGAAGGGTGGCTAGCAAAAACTATTGGTTAAAATCACAGGTGGGAACACTACACGAAAATGCCACCCCCCCAGACCATAGGTCACTCTCAGGTACCAAGCGTACCCTTGA